TGTCCTCTAGGTGCTGGGAGGTGGGAAGAGAGAATATACACTTTCTTTACCCCTCACCTCTTGGTGTGCAGTACTGGATAACTAGTAGTTTTTTGTTTGTTCATTTTTAGGTTATTGTGCATATTTCAAGTTGTATTTATTTATTTATCTGGCATGGGGTCTTGCTATATCCCCCTGGCTGGCCTCCAACTCCTGGCCTCAACTTATCCACCAGCTTCGGTCTTCTAAGTAGCTGAGACTACAGGCACCCACCACTGCACCCAGCATAATAGTTTTATATCACTGCATAATAAATTACCACAAACTTAGCAGCTTACAACACAAATTTATTATCTCCCAATTCCTGTGAGTCAGAATTCCAGCACAGCCTCGGCAGGGCTATATTCTCATCTGGGGAAGTCTATTTCCAAGCTCTGTAGGGTGGTAGTAGAATTTATTCATGCTCAGATGTATGTCTGAGGTCCCCACTTTCTTGCTAGCTCTCAGCTGGAGACTACTCTAAGCTCCACAATTGAACTCTTCCCTCATTCACAGGTGCACCCCTCTGTACGTAATTTACAAGAAGGCTGTTTCCTTCTTCACAGATACAAGAGTATCTCCCTGCTTTTCTTCACATCTCTTGTCAGGTAAGGTCCAATTCCTTTCTAAGTGTTACCTTCATTAGGTCAGGCCCACCTGGGATTTTCTCCTTCTTGCTTAAGTCATAGTCAGCTGATTACTCACCAAATCATAGGAGTGAGATTCCATTATATTCACTTAAGGTCTCACCCAAACTCAAAGGGAAAAGATGACACAAGGCTAATAGCAGGGGTTGGGAATCTCAGAGCCCATCTTTGAATTTTGCCTACTACACTTACCAAAAAATAACAAGCACCTCCCCCTTTATCTCATCAGAGTAGCAGATCCAGTATAAATTTTCCAGTTTTATAGAGAAAAAATAGGCTCTGAGAAGGTGGGTGATTTGCTTGTAGCCATACAGTTAAGTGACTGAGTGGGAACTTGAAATTAAGATTTTTGATAGTGCTCTTTTCAAAGGTAAATACGTAAACATTCATTAAAGTAAACGACTTGACAATTTATGGTACCGATTCTGATGGAAAACGAGAAAGGAAGAGTCAGGATAGGAAATGATGGCTAATGAGCCTATGCAGGCTACTGAAGGCTGTTCTTGAGTTATGGGAATCAATACAATCAATACCAACAAAGCACAGGAGCTGTGTGAGGTCAGCGAGAACTACCTGCATCTACAACACAATTGCTGTCTTTATTTATTTATTTATTTGTTTAACTTTTAAGTTCAGGGGTACATGTGAAGGTTACATAGGTAAACTTGTGTCATGGGGGTTTGTTGTACATACTTTTTCATCACCCAGGTATTAAGCCTAGTACCCATTAGTTATTTTTCCTGATCTTCTCCCTTCTCTCACCTTCCACCCTCCAATATGCCTCAGTGTCTGCTGTTTCCCATTTTGCATCCATGTGTTCTCATCATTTAGTACCCACTGATAAGTGAAAAGATGCAGTATTTGGTTTTCTGTTCCTGAGTTAGTTTGCTGGGAATAATGGCTTCCAACTCCATCCATGTCCCACAAAGGACATTATCTTGTTCTTTTTTATGGCTGCATAGTATTCCACGGTGCATGTGTACCTCATTTTCTTTCCAGTCTATCACTGATGAGCACTTAGGCTAATTCCATGTCTTTGTTCTTGTGAATAGCACTCAGTGAACATACATGTGCATGTGTCTTTATAATAGAATGATTTCTCTTTCTTTGGGTATATACCCAGTAATGGGATTGCTGGGTCCAATGGTATCTCTGATTTTTAGGTCTTTGAGGAATTGCCACACTGTCTACCACAATGGTTGAAACAATTTATACTCCCACCAGCAGTGTATAAACGTTCTCTTTTCTCCAGAACCTCGCCAGCATTATTATCTTTTTACTTTTTCATAATGATCATTCTAATTGGTGTGAGGTGGTATCTCATTGTGATTTTTAATTTGCATTTGTCTAATTATCAGTGACCTTGAGCTTTTCTTCATATGATTGTTGGTGGTTGGTCTGTACGTCTTCTTTTAAAAAAAGGACTGCTCTTTTTAAAAGAAGCAACCCGGAGAAAGTTTCAAAGGTGAATACGCAAAGTAGCAAAGGTCTCCAAAAGAAACCAAGCAGGAGCTTAGAGAGCATCACCCAGGTCCTGGGGTTTTCTCATGTTGCCTCTCCCCAGTCTGTGTATCCTTTGTTTCCTGTTCTTCTCTTCCTAGTTCCGAGACCATTCTGTCTCCCAAGGAACCTTTCCTTAGACAGGGTTATCAAAGAGAACCTAAGCACGTGTCAAGCTAACCTCAATACTTCCTTCATCATTATCCTGAAAAGTTCTCATAGAAGCTTTTGAAAGGCAGAATATAGAAAGATAAAAGGAGTGAAGTTATCAAGGATATAGTTTGATATTTGACAAATAACAAATTTTTTTATCTAAGAATGTATGAGTTAAAGCTTTATGGGTCCTTGAACTCATGTCTGTACATAAAAAAAGTAGAAAGAGCAGTTTTTTTTTTAAAGTCATAGTCAAATATATCTTATTTACATGCTACATTATGCATACATAATATATTTTCCCTCATCTATTTATGTGTATATCACATGTAACAAGCAGCAGTAAAGTTGCTGGCAAACCATTGTTTTCCAATCCTAGCCCAGCTACCCTCCAGCTGTTACTCAGAGACATAATTCAGCCTGTGCCTCAGTTTTCTCATCTTTAAAAACAAGAAGTTAGAAGCTGTGATTTCTAAAGCCCTTCCAACTTTAAAAATCAGTCATTCTTTGATAGGCGAGATAATGAGCAATTGTGAATATTAAGGCAACACCATCCTCCTCTCTCATCCTTAAGTGGGAGGAGGTTAGTTCATATTCATTACAGGCAACCATGAACTTGGTTGTGTTTCGAATCGCATTCAACTAAAAATACTTTCCGGTTCTTTTGGCTATTTTGGGATATTTGCCTACTGTTGAACTACTTACCACAGCCATGTATCTAGCTACCTACAGACACACACACACACACACACACACAGAGAGAGAGAGAGAGAGAGAGAGAAGAAACACAGCATAGTAACCAGGTTAATAGGAGTAGCACAGTTAGCAGAGGATCGTAGGTGGAGAGAACAGAAGAAATACGACACCCTCACAGCTTTCACAAATTGGCACGATCCATATGCATCGCTGCTAATTACAATAATCATCTCCTTCTACAGCGAGAGCACTGCTTGACCCTGTACCCACGTTTTATTTATTTATTTTCTAAAGCATTTCTCTTCTTCTTTCTCTTCTCCCTTAGACTATTAATTAACTGCAGTGAAGGATAAGAGAGGCCCCCATCACAGGGTCCATTTGGCCTGTCCCTGATCCCTACTATCTTAAAACACTCCTCACACTTTGAAAACCAACAGTGTATTCTAGCATGACCCAGAAGATAGCCAAGTCTCCCCTTTTCTCAACCCCTTGCTTTCAATTTTTGTTGCAGAAGAATTATGAGCACGTATCAAGCTAACCGTATCATCATCCTGAAAAGTTCCCAAAGAAGCATTGGAAAGGCAAAATTCTATTCTAAGCTACACCCTACTCTGTGTGCTTAGCTAGATGCAAATAGATTTAAGTGAGGCAGAAATATGACTGCCAAGCAAGGAGATGGATTCCATACACCATGTGGGAAAATTAATCTCACCTTATATAATCAGTGCCTAAAGCAAGGGACTCAAACTTCCTTCCCGCTCCCCAAATCCCTGGGAGGTTGTGAAAATGGATTAAGTAGCAGAGAAGAGGTGTTTTTAATATTTTTAAATTTATGTCCCTCTTCTCTTTCTTTTTCTCTCTTTCATCTCTTTCTCTCTTTAACACAGACTTCTGTTGATAAAGAATGAACTGTGATAAAAGAAAATTGCCTAAGACTCTAGCCAGTTTCAAACAAATTGGCTACCGGCACAGTTGAAAACAATTTAGTTTAAATGAGGTTTCTTTCCCATCTTCAGAACCTCCCAGCAGCAAACACCATAAACCTAGAAAGTGCATCCTGACATACGTTTTATAAATGCATGAACTACTAAATAATGTTCACAGTATAAATGAGTGACCCCATGGAGGCTACTTTAAAAAGAAACATTTTCATAAGGAAACCAATAGCATTTTCTTTTCTAGGGAAAATATTTGTCCTCTCCTATATCCTTAATTACAGCCCAGACTCTCACCGTGTCTTACTAGTGTACTAAATGAAAAAGTGGCTAAGATTTCATGCTAGTGCACTTTATTAATGAGCCAGTTATTAAGCTACTCTCTCTGTTTCAAACTCAAACTCGTGTTTCTATACTTGGCTTTGTTGTGTGTGTGTGTGTGTGTGTGTGTGTGTGTGTGTGTGTGTGGTGCTGTTGTTGTTTTGTTTGTTTTTGAGACAGAGTCTTGCTCTGTCACCAAGGCTGGAATGCAGTGGTGTGATCTCAGCCGACTGCAACCTCTGCCCTCATGTGCCTCTTCTAATAGTGGTAGGTGGAGGCAGACCAGAAGACTGGAGAATAAGAAGACACTCGATCTTCTTGTTTGTTTACCATTGCTCTCATCATCACACCTTGGCAGGGACAGTTAGGGAAATAGCAGAGGATTCCATTTCATAGTTTCCCAATATTCACACCCCCTCAGAAACACTAGCAGGTGGTGATCCTTTCCTTGGGGCTCTAGGACCCAAATCAGTAGGATAGTTCCTCCAAGCCCGAAGATAATAGCACTAGCTAAAAAAAATGCTTCTTCACAGAGGTCTGCATTTTACATCTATGGGACCCTACTCCAAGGCTCTATGCTTAGATAATTGCCACCTTGCGCTTTCGTTCCCCCAACTCTAGGAGACGTAACTGCTTCCCGCAATTCCTACTTCTGGGATTCCATAGTATTCTCCAGTTAATAATTATTTATACTGAGTTATCTCTATTAAAAGAGAATGTCTTTTTATACCAGAAATTTATACCGTGAACGGTCCCAGGAAACAGAACATCAACGATGGAATTGTGGGATTGCTTTGGTTGTGTTCTTCATCTTGAATGCAGTGCTGAGCTTCCTGTCAATGGCAAATAGAATTCCAGTAACCAGTGGAATACAGTGACATCACAGTTAATGAAACTATTACCTGTGGTTGATTTTCAAGTGCTCCCAAGGTAATAGCCTTGGGAGAACCAAATGTCCTCTGCATTTGACTATTATGTCAGTAATGCTGACTACACAGACAGTAGTATGGAATGGCTTCCTCTGAATGCCCTAGAGCACTTGCATAAGAAAAAAAAAAAAGAAACAAGCCTGCTTCTTTAAGTTCTTTTGAGCTTGACTCATAGTTAGATAATTAGGAAGTTTCCAGGCAGTCCTAAAAGAATATCATTTCTTTCTCTTATTTGTTTGCTGAAAATAAGACACCAAAGTTAATTGCACAGATTTCAGAGTTAGAATTCAAGCTGAATTTATAGATTCTCAAGTTTCTCAAGTGAAGGTTGGGTATCAACTGGAAAAGATAATGACCCTTAGACTCACAAGAAGTTCATCCAGATGCATTCATAGTAAGCCCAGACTCCTGAACCCCTGAGTCACCTGACCTCCTTTGCCAGCAGAAGATGCCTATCCTCACATATCTGGAGAGAGCAGCCTTCTCTTTCTTGAATAAACTTTAATAATGGGGCCGTTGCCTTGCCATGAAATACCTCTTCTCATCAAAACCCATTCTGACCATTCCTTTGCCACTATAGCCATAACGAGGACCAGATCTCAGCATATTCCCTAAGGGCAAGTACAGAGTCTGACCCAGGAGGAAATACTGACATGCTAAAATAGTTTTAAGATTATGCTAATTTTAATGGCAGAATCCTGAAAAATTGCATGTGGGAGTGGATTCCAAGAGTATTAGACCGAGGAGCATGAAATATAACAAGTGGACTGGATTTTATTGAACTTACTGATGTGAGTGCACTTACCAGAAATCCAGGATTGAATATTTTATCTTGTGAAGTTAGATGTGGCTTTAGCAGTTTGCCTGGTTGATAGATTGACTCAACCATGGCTCGTGTTTAATGAGATTGACATGCCTGAACTTCCTTGGCAAAATGTGAAGGAATCTGGAGTCTTAGGAATACAACAGTGTTGAAGCATATTTGTAATGTGCTACCTGATCATCCTGCCTCTACTCTCAACATTCCAAGGTGGCCCAAAGATACTTCCTTCACAATTGAGAAATTCACTGGTGGAGAGAGCACCAGTATTCTTGAATAGTTAGTTATATGGTGGGTGTCATCTGTAGGCCTGAAATGACGGTGAGAATTCCACATTGATATTTTAGTGAAATATGAGATCCCAGAGTGACATAAGCCATTTTGCAGTTTTTACTAGCAAAGACAAGATGAAATGCATTAAGTACAGCAGAGACAAGTGGTAATTAGAAAGTTTTTCACTTATAGTGATCATTGCTGATCATGATGCCCTTGGAAATGAAATAGATGGGCTCCCCATGAAAATGTTGCTTAATCTATATCAGGACTTACCAAACTCTCCCTGTAATGGTACAGATAGTAAATATTTTAGACTTTTCAGTTCAAGAGGCAAAATTAATGATGTTATATAGGTACTTATATAACAGAAGAAAACACAAATTTTTATAAAATGTTTGTTGATGAAATTTAAAATATAATACTACTAATCGAGTATTATTTTTGTAATACAGGTCCAATAATGAGGAAAAGGAATTTTTGGGGGGATAACATTTCACTTAATTCAGGTTCAAAATTAGTGTTTTCTATCATTAAAGTTGTTTGCCAGTATAATCTGTCATGTTGCTCTTTAATGAACTTTTATGTATTTAATCTAAGATTTGAAACTACGTTTTTATACAGATAGGTATTACCAAATATTAACATGAAATTCAGAAGAATGGATTTTTATTTGAGCATATTAATTGCTTAGAAGGTATTTATGGAATTTTATTAGACTCTTACTGTTAGCAGGTCATTACTTTGCAAGAAGTTCCTCAATTGTACAACTAAATCAATTTTGAAAAATGGAAATTTCATTTGCACTTTGCACTGAGGTCTGAAAAACATTTGTAACCATTGTCTGAGCTTCAGAATGTATCTACTGCAAATTTATTTGGGAATGGAGATCTCTTTCTTGTTTTAACCATTGACAGATTAGAAAGTGCATAAAGCAGCTTCACATCGATTGCAGTTCAAACATTAGTCGTCAAAGTAATTTTACTATAGTTAAGCTTCACATATATAAATGACATTTGCCTTATGATTTTAGGTTGAATTCATTAATAAACATTATTTGGTCTGTAGCAAAGGCTAATTTCCAAAACAATTCAATGTTTGATGATAATGGTTTAAAGCAGTTCCTCCCTTTCAGAAAAAATTCAATGTCATCCCTCAGCTCAAAATTTTTATTGTAATAAACTTTACCACGATTAAACCATAAAACAGCCATGTTTAATATTTAGCTTCTATTTCTGATAAAAATTCACGGAACCAACAATAAAATCTGCAACTGTAAATGAAATTCACCACTGGTCTACTGGTTTAATAATACATAATAGAGTCATGTATTTGTCACAAGATACCTATAACAGATACTACAACAAATAAACATAGGCTTAAAATGTTTTACATGTTTACAGGCTTTGCAAATTTGTCTAAGTCTTTTTCTGCTCCAGTTCTATTCACTACCCTCAACTGTAACACATCGTATCAGATTCTACTTCGTGTTCTCTTAACTTCTGTGAACATATGCTTACCTGCATTCTTTTCACACAGACTATTCCTATTGGCTAGTTATTTAGTCACTTCAAACTAGTCAGGTACTGATTCCTTGAATTAAACAATTGAACAGTATCGTAAACATCTGTCAGTTCAGAAGGAGCCAAAGAAAACTACTAGAAATCATCCACTTTGTTTTTTATTTGACTCTTGATGTTACTTTCAGTTTTCTGAAACGGTCTTGAACAAGTTTATTTTCTCTGGACTCATTTCTTTGGCTGCTATGATCAAGCATAATTTAATGAATCCACCATTAGTAAACAGCTTCCCTTGCTTGCTTGGCTAACGAACCACTTGGAAACAATCGTGTCATTGTGTAACAAACATAATGCTTTGCCATTTAATTTGATAAAATAATCCACCCTTCACTGTACCTTAAAAGCACATACACAAAGTTCACGGTTATTTTTGTGTCATGACATGATTGCACGAACTGGTAAAATATATATATATATATATATCACAATGGAGTGATACATATGGCACTCCGAATGCCATCACATTATCATTGCATCACCTTAACTTGTAGTGTGCTGAGGGTCACCTTATAAGCAATGAAAACACATCTGGTCTCTGGTGCATCTGCTCAACTCTGCCATAGGAGTGTAATGTCATTCATAGACCACAAGTAACCCAACAAAGGTGACTGGCTTCCAATAAAACTTTATTTGTGGACATTGCTCATAAACTTTCATTTGTCACCAAATGTATTTGCCTTTTGATGTTTTACAACCATTTAAGTATATAACAGCCACTCTTAGGGTGTGGTCTTACAACACAGGAGGCAGGCCAGATCTGGCCAGGGACTATGCTTTGTCCAACCCCTAAACAATATAATGGAACTCCAGGTCCGAGAGCTAAAAACTTGACTCGAGTCATGGTACAATAGATGACCATCACCTCTCACCCAGTTTCTAGGTGGAAACCAGTTCACAGCTCCAGATCCCTTTGACTGAAGGGAGGACCAGGTCCCCTTGAGGAAGGAACCTGCGGTGTAGTATATACTATACACCTTCCTGCAAACCTTTTCTAAAGGGATCTGCGTCCATTGATTGGAGTGAATTTGCCCTGGGGAAAAGATAATAATTAGGTCTTTCAGGGATTCACTGAAAGTATCATTCAGAGAAGTAAGCCCCCAGTTTGTGAAAATATTGTGCAACTTTTACGTGTTTTTATACTGCATTATTTTAAAGAACCTCACTCTTCTTCCACAAACGGCAAAGAGCCCATCCCGGGGGCCGGTGGCATTTTCATTGAGTTTGCTTCTCTGCTCCCCCTGCCTGCTAACAGTTCTCATGGCAGACTCCCTGCCTGCCTTCCCATCATGTCATTCACAGGCTTGTCTCTGCCCTCTTTCTCTTCCTTTCCCAGCATCTGTGTGATCACGGCACTGCCCATTTATAGGACAAATGCTAAAATAGCAATGAGGTGAGATAGAAAACTAGCAGCCAAGAAATAACTATTTGTGCTCATGTGCTTAAAAATAACCAATCTGGAATGACATTATAGGAAAAATCCAGATAAAACTGCACTTGCCCTGTACGAAGTCACAAGCGGCTTTACTGACGGACGCACTTTTCCCCTTCTATACCACAAAGGTTTAAAAGCAAAAGTAATCTCTGGCATTTCTTAATCTTTCTTCCCTCCAAAACATGCCAAGGAATTAAATTTTTTAATTTAGTGTCCAGTCTTACTTTTTCCATTTTAAAAAAGAATAAATGAAGGTGTCAGCAGTTTAAGTGATATCTCATCATTTTCAGCTCACCTAAGAACTTAAAAGAGTCATCTCTGGAAGAGATTATGCAGCTTTTATGGGGGAAAAAAGAATGAAAAAATAAAAGGCAAAGACGCAACAGCTACCACTACAACCCCCACCTCTGCTGCCTGAGTTGCTTATCATGACCTTATTCTGTCCATCCCCCTCCTCTGCTCACTCCTCCTCCCATCCCCACAACTCTCCTCTGTTCTGAAGGCAGATAGGAAGCTGGATGAACAACCTTGAGAATGCTGATAGTGGCCCGGTTGTTGCCTGGAGTTGTCTGCAAAATCTATCCTAGGAGTCTTATCAATCTGGAGGGTGCCAGTGACTTGAATGATACCATCGATACTGTGCTGACCAAGTTTATAGTTCTAAATGGCATGGCAGTAAAAGGCTAGATAAAACTTTCCATGGGCAAATCGGAATCCATACAGATCTCAACAAGCAAAGCTCTCCTAAGAAGGAGATTAATTTGGGCACTTAGGCCCAAACTAATGAGTAAAAGGAGAG